GCAGGAATGATAAGGAATAATTACTTGGGCATTGTGGCTTTTGATAAGCTGGCAGTCTGAGGGGGCAGTACCATAAAGCATATTAGTAATTGTAAACGCCTGGTGCAGTTTGTCCTTGTTAGAGAACTTCAGCGAACACGCAGAAGAGAAAGGGTCTTGTTCAACACATGAAGAAACAGGCATAGAGGAAGATGCACCCCTCTGCTATTTAGCAATGTAGTGTCTTGCTACTTAGGGTGCAAATCATAAGGAAACAACAAATATTCAAGAAGCTTTATATATGAAAGGCCACATGGAAGGCTTCTTTGCCTTATGATCTTACGGTGCTCATGCAAACCAGAACCCTGCCTTTACCTTGAATCACATGACATTGCAGCCACTGTGACTCAGTTTAAACCTCGTATAGCTGTCCTGTTTCTGTATGTATGGTTCCATTCAATTTGGTTCATCTCGTGTAGTGCCACCATCTTGAGCAGGGCACTGAAGGAAGAGCAAACAGTTTGGAAGTGAAGGCATGGGCCAGCTCAGTGGCTGATGGCTGTGGGATTTAGAATGCAAGGAAATAAAGCTGTTAAGGATTCATGTCTCTAGTACAGATGCCATTTGAACATGTTAGGGGAAGCAGGTGTTTAATAGTCATTTGGTGAAGAAAGGCTTTGATCTTCCTCAGTAAAATGATGGGTAGAGTGTTTCAGAAAACAGTTATTTTCAGTACATATTACTTGTGGATGCTAATCCACATCCTCATAATTTTCAGACTTTTTTGCAGATGGCATTTTTAGCAATGCTGTCAGCATCTATGCATGGAGTGCTTCTGCCATTACTGCATTTTACGTGTGCCCTGAGTTTTAGATGCTTATAGAAATATCCCTGTTTAGAAACAAGTTATGTATGTCAGCAGTCCTTGACATGGTATCTCAGGAACTAGTTGCAGCTACTGGAAGCTTGTCTGCTTTATGGACAAGTGTTTCTGCTTTATAAGAGGTTGATTATACCTACCCGAGAAACAGATTCATGAAAGGTCTCTCCCCTTCACCTGGTCTGACAATATTTCACAGATGCCTGTTTTTGCTAGCTGGCAATCAAAAGTGTAGGTGTTCTGCAGAAAGCCAAATAACTGTACCCTGAAGAATGGTGGGTATAATGCAAGTGAATATGAAAATGTCATCTAATGGCGAAAAGGTGTTCTTCTGAGTGTCTCACAGTTTATAAGCGAAAAAAAATTACTCGAAGGACAACATGACTTCAGAGTAGGGCACACAGATACCTACGCAGGTTCATTCAACTTTGAAACAATGCACTGTGGAAAACATCAAGTTTCCAGAAATTCTATTTGAAAAAAATAAGCTAATATATAGAGATACAAAACAAGTGAAGTTTGGATTATCTAGAGTAAAATCCTGTATAGACAAGGCCTAAAAATAAATTCTAAAGGGCTTTTCCTCCTGGACTTGTGTTATTAACAGCATTACAGAGAGTTTCATTAGCAGGATTCAAAGTTATTGAGGCAGTCTGCTGCGAACTTTGCTGCTTCATACCCTTGTTTCAAGTTTCTAGATACTTTCAAGGAAAATTGTGAACTACTATGATTTTGATTTTTAAGAAATCTTTCACACTGCTACAATGATACACAAAAAAGACAAATGCATTTCCTCTCTACCATTTTCAAAACAAACCAGGAACTCAGTCCCATAGTGTTTTCACTGGTAAAGCTCTCATTAAACTTTTTAGAGTTACTCCTGTAAAAAACAAAAAAAAACCCCAACCAACCAAATACAAACCAGAGAAGTTGGCTAAAAAAAAATGTGTTATCTATCCACACAATACCAGAGATTTTTATAAGTTTATCACAGTAGAAACTCTGAAACAAAACAAAACCATAAAAGCAAGCATATATAACGTGTATTACTTACAGTGTATTTCTAGAACCTGCATTGCTATCTGAGGTGTGGAGTTTAGAGACTCATGATCTACTCTGCAACTTACAACTGCACCATCATCATTGCGATCTGCTAGGAAATCCAGTGTGCTGCTGACTGTGAATGTTTTACGATTTGCATCTTCTTCTTTTAAATATTTAACATCTGAAAGAAAAAATAAACAAACAATTTTCTCCAATATTTTTAGGAAAAGTAGTCCAGCATCAGACAGCTAAATTATCTATCACACTTGTTGAAAAACCATATATTTCATATCTGTATTGATCTCTTTAAAGCAAATGTAATTAGACTGTAGTTATTCCTCAGTTTGCTCCAACTGTCAGAGCAGGAGATATTTATTGAAAAAGAAAATTTTAAAATTGGTTACATGATACTGTACTCAAATTGAAATTCCTTTCATCATTATCTTTTCTATGTTTAGGTCCAAATTTGATACAAACTTTCTCTGCAGTTCATTAGAAAAAATGGGGTCTCCTCCCATCCTCACTTCCCTTAAGTGTCACTAAATATTAAATTTTCTAAGTCTGTGCTTATAATCTTTCATAGTAATGCAATACATGGATATTACTGAAGCCATGTGAACTGAGGGTTGCATGCATGTAGTCACATTAATCCTGTGCTTACTTTATTCATTGCTTATTCTGTTGTTTGGGTAGAATTATGCTAATTTATGAATTAAACTAAACCAAAGTATAGCTATCAATGGTGATGAACAACTGTAAATAGAGCATGTCACAGAATTTACTGGACTCTACAGACAAGTCCCAAGAAGACTGGAAATAAAATTACGTCACAGAGACCTTCCACTCACTGCTTTATATCATGCTAAATTGGCCTACTGTTTTTGTGCAGATTCAGTTAAAAATCTCTTTGACAGTTTTCAGCCGAGATACTAGAGTGTGGATAGCCTACAGCTATGCTTAAGAAGTATTCAACTCAGCTTAAGGTGAAGGTTCAAATGCTGAAAGTTTTGTTGTAAGACATACGTGTTAGATCAGAATTGAAGATCCAAAAGACTGAGCATTTAAAAAGTTTTAATGTATTAACTGCAACATGAGATCATCTTACACATACTTTAGGATTGTTTTACTTGGTTCCCAACTACTTACAATACTTACTGATTTTAATTTATTTCAGCAAAATAGTAAGCTCGTTATATTGATTTGTTACAATAAAAGCTTTAAAAGACATATATAAATATATAAACATATACATTAAATTACACTGAGATTGCATATATCCTCTGTGCCCTAAAAAAAGAAAAAGTGAGAGGTTTCAGTTTTACAAATGATACTAAATCCCATTACAGAAGAACATGACCTAAATAAAATTTCCATGAAATCTCTATTTTAGAAAGCAAATCTTAAATGGCTTAAGCTACATCTTTTTAGATTAAAAATACCTCTGAAATCAGAAAGGTGGTCTTTTTCGTTGTGTCCAGATAGGTGAAGACACCACCAGTTACACAATTTCCTTTTTTCCCTAAGAAATAATTATTTCTTGCATACAAGCATTTTTCTGCCTGTTGGTTGCTAAGCTTTAAGAGATTTCCATTTCTGCCACGGTGTCTATTAATATTTAGGGATCAGTAGGTGAGAGAAATATTGGACAGGGCTAAGGCAGAGTTATTATAATCAAATAGCAAATGTCTTCACTAATATTTAAAGCAAACACATGAGATTTTGTTCCCAGAGTTAGGTTTCCAAATTTAATAATAAGCACCTATCTAGATAGCCTTCTGCTTATAAGTAATATACACATCCCTTTGCTTGCTGACTTCAGGTGGAGGACAGACAGCTCCTGAAAACATCAACAACTTTAATATCAGCGAGAGGCTGTGGATACTTAATCCTTTAGAAAAACAAAAGCAGTTAATTTCCTAAACAGATGTTTAGAAGCCTTTCTCTAGACATCTATTGTTTGGAAGAGTTCAACTCAACAGTTAATTACCTCTGTAAAAAGGATGGTGATACTATTCTATAAACTGTTGACATCCTCATCAACAGAAATACTTAGCTTATCCACTTCATCAGCTCTGTCTTCTTAGATGGTTCTTCATAGCAAAATGAAGGTGTGATTGTAATATATGCTAACTGAATGTAAACCCACTTGTATGTAAGAGCAGCGGAGATCAGGTACTGGGTATGTTACCGTATGCTAACATTCAGAATATTTACCCAAGGTTTTTACAGAATTTCTAAATATGTCTACTGTAGTCCATTCTTTCATTTATTTTCTTGCTATGCCTCTCTCTCCTAAGTATCCCCTTGAAAAAAGGTTAAAAAGAAGATCCATTACAGAGGCACTTTCTCTGGAAAGCACTATAATGAAACAGGTTGGGGGCTGACTAGATAGTAGACTAGCAGATTTATAGAGGAGGAACTGGGGGTCTTGTGGACAAGTTGAACATTAGTCAACAGTGTGCCTTTACAGGGTTGAAAGCTAAAGAACGACTGTCCTGCATTAATAATAGCAGAGCCAGCAAGTCAAGGGAAGTGATTCTTCTCCTCTGTTCAGCACTTGTGTGGCTGCATCCAGAGTACCAGGCTCAGTTTTGGGCTTTCTGGTACAAGGAGGATGTCGACAAACCCAAGTGGGTTCAGCCAAAAGCCATACAGATGGTCAGTGGCAGGAGCTTACAACCTACAAGGACAGCTTAAGATAGTTGGGTTTGTTCAGCCTGAGGAAGAAAAGATTAAAACCAGATCAAACTGCTGCCTTCAAGTAGCTAATGCATGGTCATAGAGAAGAAAAAGCCAGAGTCCTCTCAGAGGCACACAGCAAAAACTGAGGGGCAATGAACGCAAGTTATACCAAGGCAAATTCTGATTATGTATCATGAAATACCTACATATAATGAAAATTCTCCACAATAGGGGCTTTCAAATATTGAAACATCTAGCCCAGGCAGACTATGGAATCTCCGTCCTTGGAGACTTTTCAAAATCGAATTGGAGAAGACCTCTAGCAACCTGATCCAACCTTTGAACAGAGATTGGGCCATATGAAATCTAAGGGTCAACTATGGGCCCACTTCTGTGACTGTCAGCTAGGTGCACATACAGATCCTCTTGTATTAACTAATACTAGTTTATATCCCATACGTATATATGTTTGATAGTGAAAATAATAAATAGAAATGATAGACTATCATTCATTGTTCACTGTCAACTATTTATAAAAGCACATACTTGTAACATCCATATAGAAACACTCATCTTTTAAAAAGACAGTTTTGCTGGTTTTACAAGGCAAATACAATTTTTGTTTACATTTAAAATCAAGTTCTGCCACGAAATTGCCTTGTTATCTAAACAATTTTCATCTTCATTTTAGAAGTTTATGAAGACAAAAAGTTCAGTGCCTCTCTGAATTCTTTGTGTATACTAAAAATATATAAACTAACTCCAAATGTCTTAATCTGTTGCAACAAAACAAACTGATATTATCTTATTTATTTTTGAAGCCCAATTTTGCTAGGAGAAAAAAAAAATCCATTAAAAATATTCCTGAAACCTAAAAATAATTTTTTTACATAGTACTGTTGAAATAGCATATAACAAATTTTGCTGAAAAAATAGGTAATTTTTTAGTGAAAATTATGTATTTAGCTTCTCTGATATTTTTGCTTTTAATAATCTTCCAGAAATGTCACCAGAATGCTAAACTGCAGATCACTCTGTTAATTTGGTGCATGTATGAGAGACAGAACACTAAAGTAAAAGGTATGGTACTCAGTGCTTCACATTCAGTCTCTCTCATTACCAACACTTACTCTATCAAACAGTATTCCTTTACCATATGATGATTCCTTTTCTGAGTAATAGCAGTGGAGCTACAATTTTAGAATGGCTTTTTCCCCTTTGGTGCAACTCTGAACCCAATGCATCATTTATATTCTTTTGCACCATGTATATATAATACACTGTAACACAATTGGATTTACTGGTGCTAGACAGACAAACTCCTAACCTTTAATGTCAGCTGCATTAGCATATAATTTCATATCTATTTTCTCAGATTTATCATTTCACCTTTTACAGTGCACAAAGCTAATGTAACTTCTGCTGATGCCACTGCAAACTGGTTAGGTTATTTTATTTCTAACCTTTGTGAAATGGCAATGTGCTCTTCAGGAGACCTAGAAAACTAAACTGAAATGAATGTGCTCAGTACTTTCCTCTCATTTCTGGTTTTGTTTGGTTTTTATTTTTTCATTTACTGCTCTTTTTCACACATCTTCTTTGTTCCTTCCCCACCTCCTTTTTTAAAAAGCATTCCTTTAGGAACTGTTGAGAAGAGCAAATCAGTTAAAGAGTCAAATCACGAAATTGCTTGCTTGGCTTCAATTACATGTCAGCTGAAAGAAAGACGAAGTTATTAAACCAGATTTTAAAATATAATTTTTAAAATAACATCTTTTCAAATGTGCTGCCTTGCTGTTATGCCAACCATATCAGTGGTTCTCTTAAAGTATTGACATTGCCTAGACTGATTTTCAATCTTTACATGTCTTGAATGTATATACTCATCCTGTCATCTTTTCTGGATGCCAGAATCTGGGCTGTGCCATATGTGTTAGCTGTGCTGTTAAATTCTTCTTTTTAATTACGTTTGATGAGGCACTACTTTTCTTTCAGTAATTTCCTTAAATTTCCCAGTGGCTGGAAAGAACAGTACTCTCTTTCCTCATTTTCTATCCTTGTTACAAGTGCTCAAACACACTTCAAATTATTCCAGCCTAAAATTCGTGTCTCTTTCGACACTATTCTGATTTTCATCAGAAACCTAAGGATGCTTCTAGAATGGACTGGGTTCCTTGGACAATCAACTGCAATCTCCATTATTTACCAATTTTATATCACAGCTCTGGTTGCATACATTGAACTGTGGTAGAGAATAGTCAAGAAGGATTAATGGATTCTGTAATTAGTGCTGTAACTTTGCCTGAGGCAGTTTATTGAGCTAACAAAATCCACAATGTCAGACAAATATGAGACAAAGCAGATAAAAGTTTGGTGGTTTTGTTTTGGTTTGTTTTGTTTTTTTTAAGCTCGATGGAGAAGGTGGAATTTGAATCATTTATTGATCTGGTCTTATAGCAGAATGAATAGAGGTGACATGAATAAATACCAATACCTTATCCTTTTTATTCATCTACTCTATAATGGGCACCTCAGTTGGCTGTGGTAGATGTGACTAAGCCTTCTGTTACAGGAATCTCTCTCCATCCTTCCACCAAAAAGGAATTTAAGCTATCCTGGCATTTATGAGAATATGGACTAGAAAAGTAAGTTTTAAGTAAAGAACACACAAAGTGAAAGAAAAAACAGAAAAGAAATAAATAGCTTATATGCAATTCTTCCCTATCTCACTGCATCCTCAAAGGCAAGTCCTTGCTCTCTGCTTCAGTTTTAGTCACCCAATGACTTTTCAGTTACAGCAGACTTTGTCCAACTCCCCCCACTCCCTGTGAAGTTCTCCTCATCCCCTTCAAAGCCTGTCTTCTCCGTGCTCCTCACTGCACATTCTCAGCATCCTTGCCTCAGGTGCAGGTTCCCAGTTTCCCAGTTGAGATTCCCTCAGTTGCTACTTCCCAACTCTGCCTCACCAGAGCAGGCTCTGTAGATCCCCTACAGGAAATGCAATCTCCTGTCTTCTCCAGACGGTTCTGCCTCACCCCCTCACTTTACTTAAAGGAGTGTAACACAAAACTGGCAATTGACCAAATCAGAATTATGGCATATTAGAAAGGCAAAAAGAAATGAAAAGGTAAAATATCTCGGGTGAATGGTATGGCTCTCATAACAATAATCCATAAAATGTTTCTTTATGAAGCATCACAGTTGAGTTTATTATGCTGAACAGAGTTCAGAGCAATTCAAAACATCAGTTTTTACCATCTGAAGGAAAAATTAAAAGATGGTTATATGACCACTCCAGCAATTTACAATCAATTCCTTAGCTATGTACTATCACTGATTCATTTATCAATTAAATAGAAGAAACTTTACAAATATGAATTAAAAAATATAATTCTAAATAATGTATAGTTTTGACGATTGGACCAAATTACATCAAAGTCCTTTTAAATACCTTTAACTTCTTTGTCGTTCTTGAACCATCTGATATCAGCTGCTGGTTTACTACCAGATGTCTTGCAAGTTAGCTGCATCCTCTCTCCCTCCATAACTGGTGAGGTAAATCCAGTAATTTGTGGCTTCTCAGGAACACCTAACAAGAAAACAAGCAAAATGTCTCTGATAGTGTCAGCTGCTGCCATAAATATATGGCCAACTTAAAGTTCACTTCTTCATATAATCCTGTTGTGGTTTAACCCGGCAGGCAGCTAAACACCACACCCTCCCCTTGCTCACCCTCCCCTCCTCCACGGTGGGATGGGGGAGAGAATCAGGGGAAAAAAAAAAAAAGTTAAACCCGTGGGTTGAGATAAAGACAGTTTAATAGGACAGCAAAGGAAGAGAAAATAATAATAATGATAACAGAATATACGAAACAAGTGACGCACAATGCAATTGCTCACCACCCGCCAACTAATCCCAGCCTGTCCCCGAGCAGCGATCGCTGCCCCCTGGCCAACTCCCCCCAGTTTATATACTGGGCATGACGTCATACAGTATGGAATAGCCCTTTGGCCAGTCTGGGTCAGCTGTCCTAGCTGTGCCCCCTCCCAGCTTCTTGTGCACCCGGCAGAGCAGGGGAAGCTGAAAAGTCCTTGACTGGTGTAAGCACTGCTTAGCAACAGCTAAAACACCAGTGTGTTATCAACATTATTCTCATCCTAAATCCAAAACACAGCACTAGACCAGCTACTAGGAAGAAAATTAACTCTGTCCCAGCTGAAACCAGGACAACTAAATTCTGGAAACAGCGTAATTAGTTCCTTGCCTTCTGTCAAAATTGAATGTCACTGAATCCTGTTCCCTATTGCAAATAAACTGTCAGTCTGAACTGTAGTTGATGCTAAAGAATTAAAGAAAAGAGAAATTATCAGTTTTCTAAGGGAAACAGATAGTATTTTAAAAACTATCTTGTCTACATATATTCTGCATGCAGCTCTAGTCTGACTTGCTATTATAAAGTTTAAACTGGTCTGCACAGCAAGCAGGATGACAAAGTATATTAGAAGTACAACTGTGAAAATAAAATGTAACTGGAAACAAAAAGCTGAACTGATCTAAGTTCAGAACAGATGTTTAACTATGAATTATGAAGATTTTAATAGAAAATCCAGGGAAAAGTGAGGATGAAACTAAATACAGGAGTTACTTTATCTTCAGAGAACACATAACCAAAAACCCAACAGGTATAATCACAATTCCATTGGCTATGGAGAATTCTTCAGCTGAATTCAAGTTCTTTGGAGGAGGTCGTATGATCATGACATACTATGAACATAATGCTAAATTTGGAAATAGTTGTTTTTCAATGAACCATGGAAGATTTAAAAAAAATTATGAAGAGAAGTGGGAAAAATTTGATCACTACATGTAAAAATCCATTTGACTTCCAAAAACACAAGAATAACTTATTTTAAAGTGATACTGATGACCGTAATTTTAAAATCTCTGAAAACGTCATTGTTATAGCTTGCATCTGCAGTGCTTTGATGCATTCATATTTGTGGCTAGATAAAGGGATCAGTGACAGTAATTGATCCTGTGCTCTGTATTTCGCAATTTGGTTTGTTTACATCTCTTTTCCAAAATGACAGATTAGGTACATAAAAACCAAGCAGCAGTACCTATTGCATAGTACATTTCTGTAATAAATCTACTACTCTCTTTCAGGACAGAAAATGGTGTCTACTATAATACCTTGACACTTAAATCTTCCAATCCGTAACAGAGCAGTCAATAAAGAGATCATTAGTACATAAAAGGATAGTTTATCTGATTAAAAGATGTAATACATTTCAATGGAAAATATCCCATTCTCAGATAGAAAGTGTTCCAAGAGTTTAAAACGTTACTTTGAAAGGGAAAATTACAAATATAAAATGAAAAGACAGGCACCTTAAATCTTGCAGCTTGCTTTCTTGGCAGGTAAGTAGCTGATGTTGGGAAAAATTCATTAAACCCTCCCCCAAAATGAAGACAAAACTGAAAGGACCATGAAAGATCAAGTTACTTTGGTTATTAAATATTGGCTAAATGTTTTTTTGTCTTTGTAACACCTTTCTATGTCTTTCTGCCATTTCAAAGGTTGAACTGGTCTACTCCTCTATTGTTTAGATCATGAGATGCCTCTCTAAAGAAAAGAAGATTAACTGTAGCCAGTTGTTATTCCAGAATATTCTTCTTTGAGTGGGTATTTTTTTCCTTAATGGCAAAGTTGTGAAGACTTTTGTAAAATAGTCTCAACAGGCACTGAAAGGGAGACGTATGTCATCTCCCGTGCACAAAACCAATTCCCTGGCTGGATTAATGTGAATATTACTGGCATAGAGAACATCTTACATTAGTCCTATTAAATTCAACTGTCTGCCTGTCTACATATAAAAATAAAACAAAAAGAAAGAAAGAGTCAAGTTCAGGGACAGAAAAAGGAGAAAAGAATAAAAATCAATCTCTAAAATCATATAACCTCTTAGGTACGCAGGTGTGTTTCAATGAACTATAGCAATTTCAGCTGATTGGGCTACTGACATTCATAGAATCATATAAAGCTTCGAGTAGAAACTTTATTTCCTGGGCATCTCTCAAAATCTATTGCTTTTCTATGTGTATCTATAACCTTTGGGGAAAACAGCAGAGCATTTAGAGGATAAAGCATAAAAGAAGCAGCAAACCCAGTGAAAATATGCACTTTATAGACAAAAAAAGAAAGCAGAATGAGCCAAGAAAATGCACAGCTAAGGAAAAACGATAAAGCTCTAAAGCCCGTTTTGATTTCATGCTTTCTGATTTTCTCCCCTTTGCCCTATACAACACATTGTTAGGAGATGAACACATACACCTTCTTCACACTTCTGGTGCTTGGTTATGTGGAGGTTATGTCCATTTTATGGAGCACTCATACCGTGGTATTTGTGTGCTCCCTAATTCATTATCCTGCCACAGTGCAAATAGTAAGAAGCACGTTATTTTTCAGCATAGCAATATGAAACAACAAACTTCGGGGAAACAAGATCAGACATTTACATGTATCTTCTGCCAAGCTTTAGAAAAGTTCATTCTTATCATAATTCGCCAAAGTCCGAGAAGTTTAACACTTGCTTCTTTATGCTGAGCTATTTATACTTACCGAGAACGGTAAGAAAAGCCTTGGAAGTTTTGACAGGCATAGTAAATAAAGAGCAGGTGTACTGCCCTTCATCCGACAGAGACACATCACTGACACTGATACTCAGTTCATGCCATGAAGCTCGGACCAGCTCGATTCTGTTGTCCCTCAGAGCTGAAAAACAAAAATTCATGTTACAAGGTAGGAAACAGCACATTAACAAAGTGTGGCATGTTACACAAGAGGCTCTATGAGTTAGGCTAGTGAAATCGTGCCCTAGATTACAGAGATATGGACACAGTTGTCTTTATGCATAGTAGTTTGTTTTCTCTACAGAATAAAGCACAAGAGTTCACCAAGTTTCCCGATAGTGTACTGAGTGACTTGGAATACCAGATTTCTTGAATTTCCCTTTTCTGACGGAAGAGCAGCAGGGAGATTAACTTAAATTCAAAATGTCACTTTAGCTAATGCTTTAAAATTTTAAATATTTTACAGCCTATATTTAGATTAACCCGCATTTTCTATTTAAAAACAGTCGAAACATTCCCAAACATTCCAATTTCTCTGGAGTAAAGCTGTTTTGGGAATCTACATATATTCATCGAGTTCTTCCACAGCATAGAAATGTTAGTACCAGAAGTAAGTAAACATCATAATTCTCCTAAGCAAACAATACAAAAGCCTATAGAACCCAGAAAGTTTTGCTATATATCTCTAGATTCAAATCTTTGGCCTGGAAGTATTTGAATCTTCAGTGAGTCTATTTTTATAGTAAGCCTCTGATAGTCAAAAGTAAAATGGGACAATTATAATTACTGGAGCACTATGCTTTGATTTGTGAGAAGAACCAAGATGTTCAAGTCCCTAATGCTGCTCTCACTCACCTCTTCCTAAAGTCCCCAAAAGCTCTTATATTTGTTTCTCCTAACATTTATATCTTCCAATGATAAAAATGAGCTTTACTGTGGTTCTTTTGCTACTAAATCTAGATGTTTCTGCCACATTGCAAGGCTCTCCAAGTCAATACAGAAAGATTTACACCAAAATAAGCAGCTACAATGAAGAGTCAGCAAAAATGTCACTTGAATTTGTTGTCTTCTAAGGCTACCATTCAGGCTTCTGTACAGTGATTTCAAGCTGAATTTATTGGTTATTTCAGGGTAGGCCAGCTAAAGCCTGACTTAGTCTCTGCAGGATCTGATGACTGAAAGGTGACAGCTTAAGCAGACCTAACATATAAGCATGCCATGAACTGATCCTAGGCACATCAAAGTGACTGAGATTGTGTGTAATGGACACATTCCAAACATAACTGAGACATCTTCTGGCCAGCCACAGCAAGAAATAAATAATTACGTAGTATATCATATAAAATGCATATAATGATGGAAAATAGGTGCAACATTAAAGCAAACAAGCAGGCAAAACAAAAGCCACAAAATGAAAAGCTATGTATATACCAATATGCTGACATAACAGCCAAGAAAAACAAGCTCAAGAAAACAAAAATTCCATAGAAGCAAGCTTCTACCAACTCCGAATAGCAGGCAAAGCTGATGGCTGTAGCTTTACGAGCCAGAAGTCCTCGCAACACTGCAGCTGTTGCTATCTTTGAGGAAGTAGATGGAGACTCAGAATTCATTTCTCAGCATTTCAATTCTAGTCAGAGGCAAACTGAGCAGACATAAGAATGGTAGTTTATTTCACATTACTGACCTTTCAGAAAATTTTTTTTCAAAATGATACAGTGCTTTCAAATGGCTTGATTACCACCACACCCATATATATAGTGTGGAGAACAGCATAGGAAATACAAAAAAAACCCAACAAAAAATCCCCTCAGCACCCCATAATTTGAAAGTGATGATTTTTGCCTCCCCTGAATCAGAAATTATGTAAAAAATAATGCAATATATCATTTTACATTGGGTTTTGGGTTTTTTTTATAATTTTCAATTGCTACTGCCTCATGATAAAGATGTATGTAGCTGTTGAAATATTTTCCCATAGATGGGGCAATGTGCAGAATTTCATGCACTAAAAAGAACTGTAATGAATTCCACTAGAGCACAAATGGTCTACACATGATGCCAATAGCACACCATTTCGATCCTACTGGTAGAGAAAAAGCAATTGAAATACAAACCACCTGCATCAACTACATTCCTACTGCTCTCCTCCCTCATTTCCTCCCCTCCACACCTTTTTTAACCTTTGTACAACATAAAAACCTCAGCTCAGTCAATTTTCTGGAAAGCTGGTAAAAACAACCGCTGATCAAGAGCTGAGATCAGATGTTCCATGTTTCAGCCTGGAGTGAATTTTTATTGAAAGAACAGAAAGAAAGAGTTTTGTAATGGAAATACCAACACAGAGCCTTTGCAAAAAATGCTGCAGATAGCACCGACGTAATACCCCTGCGCAGGAAAGCTGTTTGTCAGAAGCATTTTTATAAGTGCTAAGTCTAAATGCAATTAATTATCTGTGCCATTAATTTCAAACCTAAACATCTGTAAGCTTTCCTGTCTACGTAGATTTGAGAGCAAACCAATGAAAAAACTCTACCAGTATTGCTTAGACAAGGCTAGCACTTACATAGAGTCTTTTTAGAATCTTATTTTCAAACTTTATTCCTACATCTATATCCTTATCAATATCTGTATATAAAGACACCAGTTCCTCCTATGAAATTGATAGCTATCATGGATGCCAGAAATGGTTTGTTCCCATTTGCTGTGTTAGGTATATTTTGCTAAAAGGGTGAAGTGGGATCAGAGAAAAAGTGGCTGCTGGCTGAACTGCCTGGTCCTGGCTCCTGCACCCTGGTCAGGAGGAACCCTCTGGGAGAGGGATACTGCTCCCTCAGAGAGCAAATGAGCAGTCGGCGGCACTGGAGAAGCCAGGAGTACTTCTAGCCAGCTAGCAATCTCCAGGCACGGAGACTGAGTGGAGTAGGCGTCTTGTGTGTGGCAGAGAGTAAACCCTTGCTAAGCCTGGCTGATGGAGCAAAGAAGTCCATGGAGCCTGAACAGAAGCCAGCTACTGAAAAGGATCAATTGACAAGCAAATGCTTGAAGGAGAAGACATACTCCTCGAGGAGCTAGTGGATGGGAAGGAGATTTATTTACAGTACTCTTTACCCTTTCAGCAGATCTGAGCTCTACTTGTTTAAAGAGGGATCTCATCTAGTTTATTATTGTCTATTTAAAGGACATGAGCTTCAAAAGCTTTCTGTAAGCTTTTTGATTGCTTTTTTTGAAGTGAGAATTGCCCCAAACAGGGCAATTTTTCGACAAGGTTCAAGCCAACTCGAGGCTCTACCATAGTAGTTTAAACATGGTTAAAGTGGCACCCTCAGTGTTTGCAGACAACACAAAGTTGGGCAGGAGTGTCAATCTGCTGGAGGGTAGGAAGGCCCTACAGAGGGACCTGGACAGGCTGGATCGATGGGCTGAGGCCAACTGTATGAGGTCCAACAAGGCCAAGTGCCAGGTCCTGCACTTGGGTCACAACAACCCCATGCAACACTACAGGCTGGGGGAGGAGTGGCTGGAGAGCTGCCTGGCAGAAAAGGACCTGGGGGTGTTGGTCAACAGCTGGCTGAATATGAGCCAGCAGTGTGCTCAGGTGGCCAAGAGGGCCAATAGCATCCTGGCTTGTATCAGGAATAGTGTGGCCAGCAGGACCAGGGAGGTGATAGTGCCCCTGTACTCGGCACTGGTGAGGCCGTACCTCGAGTACTGGGTTCAGTTTTGGGCCCCTCACTACAAGAAGGACATCGAGGTGCTGGAGCATGTCCAAGGAAGGGCAGCAAAGTTGGTGAAGGGTCTAGACAACAAGTCTTATGAGGAGCGGCTGAGAGAGCTGGGCTTGCTTACGCTGG